TCATTATAACGGGCATAAATTTGTAATTATAAATTTAGTTTTTAAAAAAATGTAATCACAACAAGATTGTCATTATAACGAATGTCATTATAACGGGAGTGACTTGTATTCAGTATACTTATGGATCCTTTCAAAGGCATAACCTCCAAAATTCAACAAAATGAGTTCTCAGAATTATTTTTAAAAGTAAAAATCAATGATAAATTAAATTGTCAAAGTAACATGGAATTCTCATATTATCCATGTGGATTGTTTGAGGACGAGATGTGTTTTGTTTGTGGTGAACAATGTGAACAAGAGGATATTTTGAATTTTATTGCTGTTGTGATAATGTAGTGAAAAGAAAAAGCGTAGAAAACCACTCTTTAGTGGTCTTACATTTCACATTTTTGAGGAATTAAAGGGCTTGCATGACCAATAAAAAGTCCAGCAACTAAGTGACTTGCATTGTACTATATAATTGATTACTAAAATGTTAATTTTATAAGAATGTTTTTATTAATGTTATATTTATATAATATGAGGAGATATTATATTCACTAAAAAATTTGCGGATTGAATATAAAAAAATTGTTGTATGAATATTATGTATATGTAAATGTATGCATAACGGTTCACTATATATTAAGAATTATCCACCTATATATATGTGTGTGTGTGTAAATAAATTAATAATGATTTTAATAATTTTAATCAAATGATTTCTTATTACAAACCTAATTGTTCAACCATAACATCAATGGAATCACCATCATCCATATCCAACTAATTATAAAAAAAAAAAAGATATAAATCATAAATAATGAAATAATTAATTCTTTTAAGAAAGGTATAAACACATACATCTGCAGGTGTGTTGTGGCTTTGTACACGATCACCATCATAAAGAAACCTAAGTGATGAAGAAGATTTTCCTTGTCTCTCACAATAAGTATCCATAAGTTTTTTTAATTGTGTTGTTCTTTTGATCCTGAAAAATACTTCATTATGATCCTAATAATAATAAAAAGGTAATCTATTATTAGCATATAATGTATAAAATATAAAATAAATGCTACTATGCATCATTTTCAATGAGTTTGTCTTTCTTATTCACGCGTTTTATTCATAGTTATTTTAGTTTCATGATATATATCATTTTTTATCTTAACACATAAATAATTTTCTCAACAATTATATAGGATATATGGTAAAGGTAACTTACGCTTCCCACAACTTTGATATTAATATGTTCGTCGCTTTTTTTGATGTCACTGTTATTTTTTTTATCATCGTTATTGTTACTTGTTTCTTCATTAGATGGTTGAGTTGAGTGAGACTGTTGTTTTTCTGACATGTTATTGATAACTTATTTGTTAATATATGTATAAAAAAGGCTTTGTTATTTAAATTAGGACTTGTAAAAAAAATTTTTAAATGAAAAGGATTTACTATATATTACACGAAACTAATCGCGTTCGTTGTATTATTATATTAGGGGAACGCCATAAATTACGCACCAGAGGGCCCCGGGTTATCATATGAGGTAACGTTCAGGCTGTTAGTATTAGTGAATTCGAAATTTTTACCCTTTTAAGCATCTACCATCTTATCTCCCTTTTACTCGTTAAATTTAAAAAACATGTGACTTCATATGTAACCATTGAAATATATAATAATACTTGGGTTTTTAAATATATTATCCAATGTATCTTTAATAGTTGTTGATGCTCTTTATTTATTCTTAATAAACCTATATATGAATATGATATAATATTATTATTTCCAAGATAAAATAAAACATTATTAGTATTAGTAATAAGGCAGAAAAGGAAAATCACAACTTTCTATATCATTCTAGTGACGTATAATTCAGGATCAATTTTGTTCATAATGATAATTTGTACATAATAAATATCTGTTTCGTTTGTTGCTATATCATTTCATTACAGCAAGAAATTGCGTTGGGGTTAATTCTGATTTAGGAATTGAAATACCCACCAATAATATAATAAAATTGCTCTAGAAGACATCAAAACCCATACATATTAATATTAAATATGTGAAGCAAAAATTTTAAAAATCCGTCATGACAAGAATTTTATTATTATTATTATTATATAGTCTGCTATGACAAGGTTTGATTGTACAAGTGAATAGCCAGTTTTATAATTAAATATGGTTTTCAATTAACCACAACTAGTTACAACTAATTGCGGCTAATTGCAGTTCCCGACCTTATTTGTCTTTATTCGTATATTGTCTGATTCTGCGATGCCGTAGACTTTTATACTAATAAAAAAAGTATAATGTGAAATGAACAAATTAGTAAATAAAAAGCTTACTTTTTCAACTTCGGTTCGGGTACTACAACAACTTTGGTTCTTTAGCCCCTTTTCATCAGGTGGATTTGGTATAATAGATTTAATATTTTCGGGTTCATTGAAAATTAAATTAATCTACCTATTCGAAGAGAATATAATTTGAAGACGAAGACTGATTTTTTATTCCATTACAAAAAGATAAAAAATTATAATTCAAGTTCATTTTTAAAAGAATAACATATTCAAAAGAATGTGGCTTCTTTATTTCCGATGATTCTTGCTGTCTCTGGACTTCTTTTCCTTTTCTTGATGAGAATTACTTTTTTATAATGCTTCTTTATAATGTTCTTTTACAATGTCTTTTTTTCCAAATATAATTGTCATTATTAAAATTGCTATTACACGGTTGGCGGAATTTTTATGTTTAAAAAAAAGATCAATAATTTTAATGATTAAAGAATTGTTACGCGACCATAAAAAATTATTATTATTATTATTTTAAGAAATTCAAAAATTTCAACATTTTCTTTTGAAGATTTCATCGGAAAATCTTTAGAGGCGTCAAATAGCATTCATTAAACAACGTTCCTGTTTTTTAACACCAAAAAAGTGATAACCAACAGATCATATGCAAACAAACGGTATTGAAAATCAAAATGTTGCATAATGCGTAATAGGCATTGCACAACGCAATAATATACTTACAGTATGCCAATCATCAATAACTATAAATAATTTAATTTGCATTTTATCAAGCAACATGATAAAAGGTATTAAAGGTATTACATTATTTTTAAAATGAGCACCATATAACTAAATAACAACAACAACAACAACAACAACAACAATATTGTGCTTATTGCTGTTTCTGTAAAAGTTCAAAGCACTAATCAGCAATGTTGGTATCAAGCTTTGGTGACAGATATTCCAGATCAAAGATTATTTCCAAGATGGCTTGAATCCATAGCACATTTAGAGCAGTTCGCTCATTATTAGTGAATGTTACGTTAATTATTTTTGCAACATAAATGTCTGATTGACTGATTATTATGTGGATCAACAATTCATCATATGCCATTTTAGCTTTAGCACCATTTTCTATTCCTTCGTTTGATCTTTTTTCCAATTATCATTAAAAGGCAAGGGATAAGAAATATCAAAGTGCTCCACAATGCTTGTTTCACATGATAAACATAATATCCTCACTTAGTGCAAATTGCTGATAAAAGCTATGTAAAGAGAACACATTAAAAATTAAACATTAATGTCATTAACTTCATCCTACCAATTATACATGTAATTATTTTCATAATAAAATCTTTACAAAAAAAACTTTATAATACTTACAATAAAATCATCTTCTAGTTTTCTTTTTATTATTTCCACATAATCATTGGAAGTGCTTAAAGACTGGTCCAGTTTTTTATTATATTAAACAAGTTTTGCTTTAATATTATCATTAATGTCTTCAATGATTATCTCTTAATTACTTATCAGTCTATTCAACATGTCATTTTTGACTATAATAGCAAATGAGAAAGTTTAAAACCAACATATATTGAAATGCTTAACTTACTTTGCACATTGATATCGATTTTTTTCCTTAATTGACATTTGGATTGGTAAAGCTGGCAATAATAAAAAAATGAATCTTTGGCCAAACCAGAAATTATTCTTTTGATTTTCTATACCCTTACCACCTATAACATCAATTACATGACTTTTTTCCCTTGAAATTGGACTACGGGATCATTTTCTTTCTTCATATCTGCCTTGGAATTAACTTTCTTTAGTCCTGTCATTCTTTGTTGGAAATAGAGATAAACTTATAAGACATACTAATTCGTACCTCCAAACAAAAAATTTATATAGTCAAAAGGCATATCATGGCACCAGCTCTTGTTAAGAGAGTTGGTCGAAATAAGGAATTC